CCTAGTGTCTTGCCTACTAGTCCCACTCTTATAGTGCGTTGCTACAGCAGTTCAGGTACCAGCTTTTCAAGTGCTTGTAGACAGGAAGAGCCCACCTTCCTATATATAGAGGCACTGATGTAGCACAGGGTACCTCCACCTCCTGCTGTGCTTCTGCTCCATGTAGGGCCCTACCTCCAGGCACTGCTGAGAAGAGGTGCTGTTCTCCTGTGGACAGTGGTAGGGGACATCATGTGGTTTCTACGCATAAAAATTTGATTTGGCCATGGGGAGAGGAGCAAGGCTAGGGACCTTATTCACAGACCTTTCTGTCTTCTTCCCGGATGAGGGCAAGGATACAGGGTGGCCATAGAAGTCCTTGCATAAAAAGGATTTGCTGCAGCTACACGCAGCCACGTTCTGTGTGGAGCACAGCAATTGTCTGACAGCACAAAATAACAAAAACCCAAAGTTTAGGACAGAAAGAGCAAGGAAAGAATTGACTGAAAGGGGAAAGAAGAAGATACTTATCAAGTTTGATGCTTTCTGCATAAGAGAAACTACTTCGATTTCTGTGGCCACTATCAGGTTGGCAAGAAGTTTTACAGTAAACATATTTTCCTCTGAAAAATAACAGTCTAACATTGGCTAGGTGTAAGTCAACTGTATGTAGACGTTCCAGAAACGTCTCTTTCCCATGCTCACATCCAAACCTCCATTAGCTCAGCGTAGGAGGACTAATGAAAGCTGAATGAAGACGACGTGGAGAGAGGCACTTCACAAGATCTCTGTTGCCTTCCCATCTGTGTAGCCCCTGGCACACTTCACAGCATTTTCTGCAGAGTTCACCCAGATCTTTCCGTCATTTTCATTCAAACTGCACTACCACTTTCATGGAAAATTCTGAGGTGTAGGTCCAGAGGTGCTTTGAACCGAGCTGCTGTGGGGACAGATGACAGCTCAGGATTTGCTGTAATACAGATCTGAAGCTGGGCACTTTCCAGATAAAGTCCTGGGAGTCATCCCACAGCTGCTCCTCACAAATTGCTCTCATGAGCCAGAAAGTCCCCTCATGGCTGAGAAAGAGCTGTGGGGTATGTCCCCAGATGTGTCAAGTGAAGCCACTGACTTTGGGAGAGGGCTGGAGAAGGACCTTCACCCCATGTGCGAGGCTGTTGGGTGCTGGTGCAAGAGGCAATGGCAGGGCAGACAGAGTGCAGGGGCTCAGGTGCAGCAAGAGTAACAGCCAACAAGGCTCATTGCAGAGGCCAGCACTGGGTACAGCCCAGTGAGTGCATACTTCTTAGACATGTAAAACATCGCTGTGAGTGATGCATATGCATATATCAACAAATCCCACCTGGCCCATATGCAGCATTAGCATCTGGCAGTTTGCTGTGAGCACAGGTGAATAATGGCTTAGGGACATGTGCTTCGGGGCAAGGTTAAAAGGTGACTCCTTTTTGGTGTTAGTGGATTAATATGACTGGACACGATGCTGGCTTCTCTTCTCACTTCTGCCAGAGTAAATCAAGAGTAACTGCACCAAAGTCAATATGTATATTAAATTCATTGATATCAGGGGCTGAAAAGCACATGATTTTAAAAGAAAGAACATCTCAATTACAAGCTAGAGAACAGAAACAAAGAAAAAAGTGGCTGCTTTGCTTGGCTTCCTGTGGTGCTTTATTATGGCTCTACTCCTTATACGCGAACTCTATCCCAACAGGCGCCCTCGCAGACTCGTCTGTGAGAAGAGCTCCTACTGTCCTCCTTATTACTGCCACGACAGGGAAACCCTGTCTCTGTTCCGTGTAGTGGAGTTCCCCCCTGTGCTGACCTTGCTGCAGAGAAACACTATCTCCCAGGGAGATGGATGGAGATTTAGGCAATGCAGCATTAAACATAGACTCAGCGGCTCAAGCCCCAGTGCCTAAAACTGGAATTATTCCACTGGTGCCAACGGAGCTGTTGAGTACAGCCTGATATGATGAAGAGGAAAATGATGTATCTGCCTGGCTCTGGCTGAGCGCAGCATGAAGGGTGTGAGGCTGTCACTCCTGTTCCTCTGCGCACAGCCATGGATAGACAGCTCTTGAGCTGGGCACAAGTTGCCCTGGGGAAGAGGCAGCTTTTCCCCTCTCCGAAATTCCCTGTTTCAGGGGCTTTATGTGGCAGAGTTCTCCTTCTGTGCCTTCGTGTGCGCTCTGAGGCCGAGCAGTGATCTTGTAGGTGGGTTTTCCAAACAACTACCTGGCTGCACTGAAAGCAGCCCCCAGCTCTCCAGCCTGCATCCTGAGCCCCCAGCGATGCAGACAGCAGGTTAGCTGGTGAAGATGCTGAGCTCCCCCCCAGCCACCCCAAGGCCCATGGACAGGCTTTGGCAGAGCAACCTGGGTTCACCAAATTTGGTACACCAGGTCGGTGGTCAGCACAGTGCAGAAAGCGTCTTCAGACCCTATCTCACCATACTTCTGTTCATCTTTGATGGAAGGAAAATCCCCTTTTGGAGCTGCCAGCTCAGAGAGCCACCTAAGCCCCTGACTGCTCTCGAAACAGCGCTGCTCATCACAGCCTCCCTCACTGCGGGACCAGGTGGCTCCTCCATCACCTCTCCAGCATCCACACTTCAGCAAGGAAGCACCCAAGTCTCTGCAGGTCATGCTGACCCATGCTATGGCTTTCTACCTAGCAGGTCAGTGGCTATCAGACCCCGGGGTGAGGAAGCTGGAGACTAGTGGGGGAGTTTTAACTCTGTGTATAACCACTGCCCTCAGCTATTTCACAGCTCACATTCTCCACTGTACCACAGTGCTGCTGGTAATGGAGATACAAAAGTCCCAAGAACCACTGCCTCTTCCCACATCTCGCTCTAAGGCAGAGGGAAGGGGAGCCCAGGCCAGCACTAGCCCTGACTAGCTCAAGGTATCCAGCCCATGGTGCCTCCAGGGAGGCTATTTATTGCCCCCCAGCAGTGGGAGACACAGGGAAGAGAAGCCTTCCCTGCATCCATGTCTTCTGCCTGGTCTGGGGCAAAAATACTATTTTGTCCCTTCCTCAGTGGCTGGGTAGAGCCAGTGGAAATGGTGTCAGGGACATCTGCATTGAAATTATGTAGGGAGGGAGGTGCTCAGAGTGTAACAGCCGCTGTAAAAACTCCGATTGTGGAGTTGCCTTCCATCACATAGAGCCTCACCTTGCAAAAGTAAATGCAAATGTCCGTGCAAATTAAAATGCAAATGCAAACGCAAATGCCAGGCCTCCTGGGCTGCACTCACTCAGTGCTACAGAGATCCCTTGACCTCTCAGAAACATTCAGATTGCTGCAAATGTCCTAGTCCAGAGGAAAAAAATCACTGCTTTTCAATCTGGGTTCCTGCCTTTCCTCCCCTATGGATAAGAGTAGCAGCTGGGTTTCTTTGCACAAAAAGGCAATTTCTGCACTATGTGCACAGCTCACTCCCAGCTTTGGTCTGCAAAGCACACACTTAGGGTCTTCCTGGCAAATAAGTGATTTGCAGATCATAATTGTGGACACTAAAACACCTTTCTCTCAGCTGCCAGCATGTAGCTGCCATTAAACTGAATGCATAAGAGACAGTGCGCTCCCCAAACACCCACAGTGTTGTTAATAAAAGAGAAGAAAAAATAATTTAAGTCAGGAGGAAGCCTGCAGGTGAAGCGGCAGTTCAGGGCCATAACTTTGTATCTTTCTTTTTTTCTAAACTAACTTTTACCATGTCCATAGTAGAGCCCGAGGACAGCTTTCTGGCCACTGATTGCAGATGGGGGCTTGCAGGCATGCCCCAGTTCCACGGAGGCTGCTCGGGCCCAGCACTCCATCCCAGCACACTGGGGTGTAGGCAAGAAGGAATCCCAGGCATGCCGTCCACCTGGGAGCCTGGTGAGTCCCTGCTGGAGGCAGGAGCCTCTCTGGACCACCACTATCCTTGAGTTCATCTCCCCCACGCCACAGCCCCTCCAGGCTTCCCTCCACATGGTCAGGCAAGGACCTTGCTGGTGCCCACAGGCATTTTAAGCTAGGAGAAATGCTCCCGCAAGCAGCAAAGTAAACCCCTTAGCAGTCACAACTCTTGTTTAGGTTTACATTAATGGGAGGAGATGACAGATCGGGATCCAGGCTGAGTGCGCTACAGCTAATAACAATACCTTAGATTTATGCCTATGGCACTGACCCAAAACTGCATTGCTGTGAAAGGCTCTCTCCCCTCACCCAGGAAGAGGTCCCTTCCAGTGGAGGCAGACCATGCTGCTTCACAGGTGATCCTTAAAACGAGATGCATGCAAGCAGGGAAGCACACAGGTAATGAGGAGCCGGGGCAGTGCCGGATCAGAGCATGCCCGTTACAGTGCTGATTTCCTATTCATGCTGCGGTGACATCGAAGTGTGTGAGCTGGGGTCCACATGCTCATCTGGCTTCCCACCTCTTGCTGCAGCCAACAGGCCAAGGCAGTGCATGAGCAGAGAGGTCTGGGGAACAGGAACAGCCAACATTCTGCAGGGGGTTTGCAAGCAAAGGAGGCTTGGTAGACAGTGGGGATCCTTAAGTGTCTAATAATGGTGGTTGAGTTAGATGGAGAGAGAAATTTCCCCCCAACCTTCCCTGAAACTTGAAGGAATTTAATCCCTTTGAGGCTTCTACCCCAGGGCCAGAAATGTTTGAGGAGACCAAAACTTATGGGGGAGAATTGACAGGAACAAGGACGATGGGATAATACCAGCCTTGTTTCCTTAGGAAAAGAGATAAAAGAAACAAAGAGATATAAAACAATTTAAAAATTATCCCTATCACTGCTGGGGCTCCTCCACACAGTGGTTCTCACTCAAAAGCCTCCTTTATAGCCACTGGGAAAAATATTGCAAATCAGCCCGCTGCCTCCCTCTGGAAAGGTCCCACGGAGACCTGCAGTTCTCTAGTGTATGCAGTACAGGACGGAAAGAAGACAGTCGTTTCTTCAGCCCTATTAAATCTTGAGCCCAAGCTGATCAAGCAGCTTACCTGCCTCCATCCGTCTGTTTTCATACACCTCTGGGCTTTCCGACACGGCGCTGTACTGCTGGAAAGGCTGGTTGCTGAAGAGATTGTCACACAAGAGGCTGCGACAGAGCTTCTTCAGAAAGCGCAGGACATACCCAATGCTGTTGACTACCAGCAGGCTCAGGAGATGCTGCTTCCCCTCAAAAGAAGCTGACACTGGAAAGAAAGTGAGAGCAATTCGATACCTGGGGATGCATGGCAGGAGGAAGAATGAAAGCAGGGGAAAAGATTTCCTGTAAGTGTTTGTATGTCTTAAAATATTTTAGATAATTAGTCCATTCGAAGTACAAAACAAACTGGAGGAGCTTAAGGAGCTGAGTTTGTGTGACCCAGATCACCTTCTCCCTGGAGCGCTGGAAGATGCCGACGGGCATAGCCAGCAGTGCAAGGATTTCTCATGTATGCATCCAACTGAAAACACTACTGTACGATTGGAAGGAGGCAATTATAATACCCTGGTCTAAGAAGGGAGAAAGGAAGTGATCTGCCAATGATAGGCTATTAGGCTGACTTCAGCAATACCCAACGTTTTAAAAGATAATGGGGAGACAAGAATTAGAGACATGGCTGTGAATGAATAAAAGGTACCAGGGTTGTACTGAAAAGAGGGCTACCAGCTTCATCATGGATCTTTATTTACTGATTTAATTGCATTTATAAACAAGAGAATACAGGCAGTTGTGGTCTATCTGGAATTCAGTAAAGTATGAGAAATCTTTAGTTAAACTGGAAATGATTGCATATGAAAGGTGGGTCAGGAGACAGCGACAGGCTCTGCTGACAGGAGACTTCAAGCACTGGAGAGGAAGTGGCAGTGGTCTGTGCTGGCACAAAAAGGTTTTGTTGATGCTGTATGTTAGGAGATGTTATCAATGGAGAAGAGGACTGGGAGATGGCACAAAAAAAAGACTGTCTGATCTTGAGCTCTGCAGTAATAAAAATAGGTGGAAAAAAATACTAGAAAGTACACGGTAATTCATAATTTTTTGAGGAGGCTCAACATGACCTGATGGAAGGAGAAATGATGGGACAGGCTCACCAGATGCCCATGAGCCACCAAGGTGACACAGTGATTAAAAAGTCAGATAGATTTCAAGGAGATAATAAACAAAGCATTTCCAGGAGAGACAGGAGAGAATAAAGTCCTGGTGAAATCTGAGCTGGACTGATGGGCACCATTCTGGTCATCCAGGCTCGAGAAGGGTGAATTCACACTTGAAGAGGTGCACTGGCAGGCCACAGCGATGTTCAGGGAACAGAAAGTTTCCCTGTGGCACTGCAGCCATCACTATCTCTGCTACATGGGGCTGTGGGAAGACACTTGCACTTCTTTCACTAACCCAGCGGTCTTCCTTACAATGCAGAGAAGACCTGAAAGAAACTGCATGCCAGCCTAGCAAGATGAGGACTGCTCTCTAGAAATACATCTAAGATTGAACTCAAGGGTGAGAGCAGAGCAATTAAAATTCCTGGACAAAGCTGTCAGGGAATATATTAAGACAGGAATCAAAAAGGGCATAGGTCCCAGCCATGAGAGAGACAGAGAGACCACAACAGACCCACCAGGACTAATTGTAGCAGAACACATTCAGGTGTCAATAGGTTTGCAGGGAGGACTACATGACATAGCTGCCTGAACTTCGCCACCTAAAAGGTTTTTTCCAGTCTTACAGCCTCCAGTCACTGCTAACGAGTAGAAATTGCAATCCTAGGCTTAGAATCTTTGGGATAACTTCAGAGATTTCATGCTGGCCTAAGCTGCTGTAAGGGATCATGCTTCACAGCTGGACGAGCATCTGTGAGCCAAGCAATGGGAAGATTGGAAAGCCCATGACAAAACCTGCCTGTGCTGCTCCTGGGCTGGGAATGAGCTGCAATCTCAGAGCCACACCATGACTAGGAGGCCATTCACCTCCCCTTGGTGATTAGAAGAGGCATGAAATTGGGAGCAATGTTGACCAGGTGCTTTTAGCTCAGGTACCTGAAGCCAAGCCAGCTCTGAGGAGCTGAGACCAAGGGGCTTGGTGGGCTTGGTGCACAATAAGACTCTCCTGCTTGTAATGAAAATCATATGTGCAGCACAGAACCGGGCGAAAATGAGGCTTTGCACTAAATTGCTTCAGTCTTGTGTTTCTGTGAACAAATCTGGACCATTAGAGTATTTCTGATATCCTTTAGGGAAGGCACACCTGTGATTAGAGAGAACAAGAGGAGAGGGAGGAAGCAGGATTTATGCGCCGCACAGAGGGCCAGAGCCTGGGCTTCCACACGAGAGGGTCTCAATGACACAGCCGAGCTGTTGTGGTCCCTGCAAAACCGATTGGACTTGTGGTCCTTGGCTTTGTGTTCACGCCTGACTCATTGTAGAGTGTCGTTCCCACATTCCCATCATCGTTTTGTTCCCACTGCCTCCCCATGTGCTAAAACAATGCTGTGACACAAAACTCTTGCTGTGATTAAAGGAAAAGTTCACGTTCAATCTGAGAGCCGGGCCAGGGGATTCGGCGTGGGACATGGGAGACTTGTCAGGTCACAATGAGAAGCATCATTGTGGGAAGATGAGGAGCTCCAGGGAAGTTCCCTCTGATCCCTGATTCTCTCTGATATATTAGTATAGTCCTGCCGTATGGGGAATTGCCACGGGACCTTTGCGATTCCTACAGCTGAGAGTTAGATTTAGCTGACGGACTGCAGGCGGGGGATGCACCAGTCAGGTGAAGATTTCCAGCGCTCCCCAGCTGGCTGCAAGCCTCTTCCAAAAACGCCTTACCTGACACCGTCTC